GAGGAAAAAGTTGGAAAAACCTTTCATGACATTGAAGTTAATGGTATCTTCAAAGATGTCACGCCACTGACTGAGCAAGTGAAAACAGATAGATAAATGGGACTATCTTAAACTAAGAAGCTTCTGCACCTCTAAAGAAACAGTGACCAAAATACAAAGATAGTCTACAGAATGTGAAAGGATATTCACCGAATACACATCTGACAAGGGGTTGATATCAAGGATATATAAAGTACTAGTTGAACTCCACAAGAAGAAAACATCCAACCCCATAAAAAAAATGGGGCAATGAAATAAACAGAAAGTTTCTCAAAGAAGAAATCCCAATGGTAAAAAGACACATGAGAAAATGCTCTACATCATTAATCATCAGGGAGATGCAGTTCAAAACCACAATGAGATACTATCTCACACCTTAGAGACTGGCCCACATCCAAAAGAACAAAAGCAACCAATGCTGGCGCGGATGTGGCGAGAAAGGGACACCCCTTCACTGTTGGTGGGAATGCCGACTGGTTCAGCCCTTTTGGAAAACAGTATGGACGATTTTCAAGAAATTAGAAATTGAGCTCCCATCTGACCCAGCAATATCACTCCTGGGAATATATCCCAGAAAGGCAAAAAAGTATATTCGAAGTGACATCTGCACTTGTTTTTTCATTGCAGCACTCTTCACAATAGCCAGAATCTGGAAAAAACCTGAGTGCCCAAGAACAGATGACTGGTTAATGAAACTCTGGTACATCTACACAATGGTGTACTATGTTGCTGTTAGAAAAGATGAAGTCATGAAATTTACATACAAGTGGTACTACATGGAAAGTATCATGCTAAGCGAAATGAGTCAGAAAGAGAGGTATAGACATAAAAATATTGCATTTATCTGGGGGACATAAATAACAAAATAGGAGATTATTACCCAAGAATAGCCGAGATCAGTACCAGGAGAATTACTCCATGGCTTAGAGGCCAGCCGGGAATTCTAGGGGAAAGGGCAGCTCAGACAGTGAAGGGAGCACCAAATAAAGGGTGTTTGGAGGATCCTCCCAGGATGGGAGATGCATGTTGAAAGTAGACTATGGAGCAAACAAGATTGCCACTCAATGCTTCTTTTGAAGACCACAACACCCAAAAGGAGAGAGAGAACAAAAGGTAATGCCCTGTGACAGAGGCAGGGTGGGATGGGGGGGATGGGAGTGGGAGGGATACTGGGATCTGTGGTGGTGGGAAATGGGTACTGGTGGAGGGATGGGTATTTGATCATTGTATAATCGAAACCCAAGCACAAAAAATTTGTAAGTCTACAACTGTACCTCATGATGTTTCACTAGTAAAAATTAATTAAAAAAAAGTAATAGTGCAGTGGGGTACAGCGCTTGCCTTGCATACAGCTAACCTGTTTTGATCCCTGACATCCCACATGGTCCCCTAAGTCCACCAGAAGTGATTCCTGAATGCAGAGCCAGGTGTAAGCCCTGAACATAGTTAGATGTGGCTCTCCCAAAAAACTAAGGGGGAAAAAAGAATACAGGTCAATGCCCCAGTACCTTCTTGAGAGAAGTAACTGTTGTTACAGGGGCGAATGAAAATGTTTGGGTGCTTCTGATGACCTGTGTTTGACATTTCTTTTATCTCTCTTTTAGATTGGGAGATAATATAATGTATCTATGAAGGGACCCAGCTAAGGAGTTAGTGAATCTTGAGTTTAAATATACTTTGTCATTTGCCAGCTTTGCATCGTTGAGGCCATTGTTATTTCTGAATCTCCTTTTCTTATCTACAGAGTGGCAAATTAATATCCATCCCACAAAATTGTTGCAAGTATTAAGCAAAGTACTATGTGGTGAAGTGTTTTGTAAATCCAGATGGCCCATCCTAAACAACTTGAGTTAAATTGAAGGTACAGAGTTAAATAGAAGGTACTTATTTACATAGTGAAAACAGAGCTTCAGGTATGGCTAGATTACAGGAGATCAAAATCTGCTGATAAGTTCAGATTTGGTTCCATTTTTATTCCACTCCCCTTCACCTTGGATCTATTCTCAGATTGATTCTCTTTTAGTGGAGGCAAAATATCTACAATCATTCCTGTCTCCCTCCTCCAGCTCAGGGTCCCATGAAAAAGAGAGGATATACTTTTCTTCCAACAAGTAGATCCTCTGAGTTGGAGAAAAGCACCATTGCATCTCATTCATGCGCTCAGAGTGTATTATCCTTAGAACAAACACAGCATCATAACTGGGAATGCTAAGCCATGGCCCCCTATTCTAGGTGTACAACCTGCGCAGAATGAAATTGCCATGGCTTTTTAATTAAATCACAGTGAGATACATAGCTACAACATTGTTCGTGATTGGGTTTTAGTCATAAAATGTTCCAACACCATCCCTTCACCACTGTACATTTTCCACCAATGTCCCTAGGTCCCTTCCCTCCACCGTCCCCTCCTGCCTGCCTCTCAGACAGACACTTCTCTCTCTGTCTCTCTCTGTCTCTCTGTCTCTCTCTCTCTGTTTCTCTCCTTTTGGGAATTATGGTTTGCAATACAGGTACTGAAAAGATATTAGGTATATCCCTTTACCTTTCAAAACCTAGTGCTTGTTCAGAGTGATCATTTCCAACTATCATTTTCAAGTGGTCCCTTCCATGTCCTGAGTGCCCTCCTCTACCCCACCCCATCCCCCACCCCCCACCCCTGCCACTTGTGGCAAGCTTCTAACAATGTTCCAGTTCACCTCACCCTCGTTTCTGCTTGCCTTGGTTTCTAAGCAGAAAACTGGGGAGCTAGTTCCAAAGGAAATGGGAATGAGCATTGCCAATGTCAGGATGGGGAAGGGTAAATTTTCCCTAGAATGCCTAGAATTTTCCCTAGAAAGTAAATATGGACTTTAGCATTAACTCAGATCCTTCTTCCTAAACTGTGGGTTGAATCCCAGACAGGGTCATGTTACTGAATGTGGGAATCATGAAAAAGGTGAAAATGGGACTTGCTTTTGGAATGCGCAAGAACCCAACATTTATTCAAAGTCAGATGCATCTTGAACCTGAGTATTTCTGGCAGTGCCTTCCATGTTGCATCTGGAAAATGCTGAATAAAGCCTGGTCTAGAGCACCAGAATGGATGGAGCTCTCCCTCAGACCTTAAAGGAAAGAAAATTAAGGAAAACAAAGATAACTTCGCACAATTCATGGATTTACGGGCTATTTAAAAAACTGAATGAACATGCTGATTTTAAAAGCTAGATCAAAGATCCACAGTGAGAAATCAGAGTTTGAGGGACTGGAAGAAAGCGATAGGGACCCAGAACTTGTGAGGCAGAATGGCTGTCCTGGAATGAAATTCTTCAGTTGGATATGTTTCTGTCAACCGGTAATTTTTTCAAGTTTGTTTGTCTCCTGGAGTAACCAGGTTTTTGTTTTGTTTTGTTTTGGGGCCACCCTGGCAGTTTATGTGTTCAGGGGTAGCTCCTGCAGGTGCTGGGGTGGGCTGTGTGTGGGGGAGAGGTACCTGATGCTGGGGATCGAACCCAGGGCTCTCGTATGCGAAGTAAGCAGGAGACTGCTTGAGCTCTCGCTCAGCCCAATGACCACCTTTAAATCTTTTTTCGATTTATTTCTATTCATGTTTCCTCTGTCACCACTTTATCTCTGCAGTCACTGGGGTTTCACTCTCGGTTGTGAGGCTCGCTGGGGTCTCCCACTTTTAGCTATGGTGTGTGGCTGACCACAACATGCCACACATGTCACCAGGGATGGCAAATACAGTGGCGCCACTGCTCAGTCTGTGGAGTGGACCTCACACCCACCCACAGGGCTCAGGGGTCTGGGTTTAGACATTTTCCGGCTGCCAGAATTCAAGTTCAGGGTTTCACGGATGGGACTCCGCCTCTGCAGGGGCTCACTGCACTGTACACTCCCAAGACTGGCTCCCTGGAGCAGGAAGGCCCCCACCCCCCCCCCCCGGAGAGGGCCATAGCACCCGCTCAACAACGATTCAAGGGGGACCCGGGCCAGAAGCGCTGGCAAGCATTTGGCTGCTCCCCACGTGGGAAAGAAAAGCTGCTATTTTTGGAGTGCGCTTTTGCAATGGAGAAAAAGTCATGGCAACAGCAAGGACTTTGGGGGGCAGGGGGTGTGGAGACTCACGGGGTCTTCCAGAGCGACCGCTTCAAAGATGCTTCTGTATCTTTCATAAATAACTCAAGTACAGAAGCACCATGAAAAGGACAGTCCTCTCTGCCAAGGGCACCCGAAGCCAGCTCTGGGTTGACACCATCAACCCATTTTATTTATTTATTTATTTATTTATTTATTTATTTATTTTTGGGTCACACCCGGTGATGCACAGGGGTTACTCCTGGCTCTTCACTCAGGAATTACTCCTGGCGGTGCTCAGGGCACCATATGGGATGCTGAGACTCGAACCCGGGCGGGCTGCATGCAAGGCAAACACCCTACTTGCTGTGCTATCACTCCAGCCCCAATCAACCCATTTTAAAGATGATGAAGGAAGGGGGTATGAGCTTGTGACCGTGGGGATTCAGCAGCCCTGTCCCCACCCTCCTGTCACCTCCCAAAGGCACCGTGGCTTGGTTCTAAGGAATCAAGTGTCCACCACGACCTCATGGACAGACCTAGCCACCCTTGGTTCAATTGCTGAGCAAGTTAGGGGTGAGCTAGAGGCTTCTCAAGAAAGAGGCCATTGTTCGTCTCTCCAAAGAGGCGATTTTCTGGCTACTTTTGACTCCTCTGCAGGGCGCTGAAGGTCATGGGTTGCGTCTGCAGAGGCCAGTGAAGTCATGAAATGAAATACTTGGCCAGGGAACTCGGGGCTGTGGAGGAAGAGGGGTGCGGGCTGGAGGGGGTGAGGCAATCTGAGCAGAGACAGACTGGCCAGCCCTCCCTTCCTGCCTTTCTCCCAAGGTGACCACTCCCCCAGGCTGGCTTCTGGGCTTGCCCTTAAATAGTGCAAGCTCCCTAGAGTCAGCCTGAGTTCCTGGGATCCGCTGAGTGGGCGCCCCCACTTCTCAGCAGGGCAAGCTCTCTCTGGAAGGGCTGGAAAGGTGGGTGATGAGCGGAGGTTTAGCTGATTCTTCAGAGCGGGCTTTGCCAGAATAAGAAGTGGGATGGGACCCTAGGCCTCCTCCTGAGAAAGGACTTGATGATTTTCTGGAGAGAAAACTCCTTCCTGATGCTCCCGCTCCTCTGATGGGTGGAGCTGGGTGCCAGGGGAGATGGCTGGGAGCCTATTGCTTCCCTTCGAGCCGGTTGGGTGCTGCAAGGGTTGGGTGGTTGGATGTACTCAGGAAGTGCTACCTGCACTTCGGGGTGGTGGAACGGGGTGAACGTGGCTGATCCAGGCTCATAGCCTTTCTAGAAGCGAGTCAAGGAGTTCCCCAGATGCAGATGTCAGGAAGAGGCCCGGGGTGTGCTGGGTCCTTTGTCCTCTTGAATAAGTTTGTCCTCCAAAACTATCTTGGGCAGTGGAGGGGAATCTTTGCTCCAGCAAGAAGGAAGAACTGGGTACAGGCCTGCTTCCAGAGTAGAAATAGAAAGCTTTCGGAAGAAGGGATCTGCTGACTCGGGGGGAGGAGGGAGGAGAATTTTCTTTTTTGGTGGGTGGTGGGGGGCATGACTGCACAAATACCCCTGCTTGGGATTCCTTCCAACTCAGAGCTCAGGAGTCACTTCAGGCAGTTCTTGGGGGACCATGTAGTGCTGGGGATCAAACCCAGGCTGGCTGCATGGAGGCATTCAGCCCTTTGAGCTCTCTCTCTGGCCAGGGAAAGTCATCTTTTAGGAGAAAAACATCTCGTTTAGGAGAAAAACATCTCCAGAGCAGTTTAAAGGCATCTCTGTCCGTCAGGGCCCCACCCACCAGCTGCCCTCGCTCCACTTTCAAGTTTTCTACCTGCAGGTGGAATGAACAGGAGGACCTGGGAAGGAAGTGGGGTGGGGGGAGTTTTGATGATGGAGAGTTGAAGCCCCCTAGGCCATCTCAGGGGTGCACCCTGAGGTCCCTTCCTGGGATTCTCCTGCCTTTCTGCTTGTCTCTTTCTTGTGGCTCTCCTGGGCGCCGTTCCTCCTGGGCCATGTCTAAACCCTGAGCTTACAGCTGAGCATGCATTTTATGTTCAAATCTTGTCCTCAGCTTTCACTGCAGGCATCACCTCAGGAGGTGCTGGCACTCTGTGCCTCAGTTTCCTGCACAGGGATAATCATAACTCACCGGGTTCTTGGGATGAGAATCAAGCTCTGCTAAGAGCAGATCACAGACATGGCATACACAGCCCATAAATGTTAGCTACTGGACAGTGTCCTCAAGGGACATTGCAGGCCTCAACGGTGAGAATGGTTACCCCTCATTGCAGTCTGTAAACTGGGGTGCAGGGGGCAGCTGGAGCCAGGCGCATACCTGTGCAGCATCTGTTCTATGGTCTGCTCCAAAAGCAAGAGGGAGAGCTACCCCGGAGGGGCCAGAAGGGGTGGGCTTCATTGTCCATCTTTGGATCCCACCTCCATTGCTCTCCGGCAACAGTTCAGGGTGGGAGAGAGAAAAATCAACCCGGGAATCTCAATATGATCCCACATTGGAGGCTGCCAAAGGCCTTGGAATGTGTCCTGGCCATTTCCCTCCCCTGACCCCCCAGGCTCTCCCTCTGCCCCTGCCAAACAAACAAACAAGGAGGCCATCACAGTTCATTTTGGGCAGACTGAAAAAAGTGAAATCTGCCAGATACACAGGATCTTGTTTACTCTCATGCAGCCGTTACGGTGTCGCAAACTCCTCTGTAAAACAAGAGCCATGGAGAGTCAGTAATTCTCCATGACGTGGTCGTTGAAGTTGGGATTGGCGTCTGTGTCTGACTCAGATTCCTGGCCAACAACCAGGAACTTTGATAGAGTTTAAAACTAACAAAAACCTCAGGGCCAGAGTGATAATACAGTGGCTGACCCAGGTTTCTTTGCTGGCACCCCATCTAGTCCCTCAAGCCCACCAGGAGTGATCCCTGAGCTCAGAGCCAGGAATAAGCCCTGAGCACCACTGGGTGTGCCCTCTTCCCCAGACCAAAGCCAGGAAACCAGCGCTGGAGAGATAGCACAGGGGTTAAGGTGCTTGACTTGCACATGGCTGACTGGCCTGGGTTAGATCTCAGCACTGTGTGTGGCTCCCCCAGGCACCACCAGGAGTGCTCCCTGAGCACAGAGCCATGAGTAAGCCCCGAGCACAGCTGACCATGAACCCCAAGCCACCCTTTCCACCCCCAACACAAACATAAAGTAACAAGCCCAGTCATGCCCAGTGGATAAGTCTCCCGGTCTGGGGTGGGAATCTGACGTGCCTGCCCCCACCCAGCCGTGCAGCCTCCCAGCGCCCCCGTCCCCTCTGTAGCTCTGCTGAACTCCCTCCCTGCTTTCTTCCCAGAGTCTGTCCCCATGTCTCCTGCTGAGGCCAGACACCCTACACTGCTCCCTCTTTCCTGTCTTCCGGGCCCATGCCTCTCCGTCTTGACTACTGCCATCCGGGCCAAAGCTTTCCCATTTCCGGTTTGAGTTTCTGCCCTGGCTTCCTTGCTTCTCTCCTTCTCCTCTTCTTTTGTCTCCCGTCTCTCTTAAGGCTCTTCCCCTTCCCTTATGCCTCATCCAGCCTCACATCCTCTCTCCAGCCAGACTGAACGAGCTAAAATCATCTCATCACCTGGTTCTCTGCCTGCCAACCAACACCAGCTCCACAAGCACCCGCAAAGCCACACTCCTTAGCACGGTCAACCCGCAGTCCAAATCCTGGACCAGTCTTCCCTCTTGAGTCTCCACTCCCCTTTGGTGGCACAGGCCATGATACAGGCACACCTAATTTCCTTCTTGTCCCAAATAGCATCCCTCCCCCACCTGCAGTCATATCATGCTGTGTCTCCCAGATGATGGGTCCCCCAGGCCAGAGAAACAGTACATGGGTTAAGGTACTTGCTTTGCATGTGGCTGACTCGGGTTCAATCCATGGCACTGTAGAGACAGCCCTGAGCATCACTAGGAATGATCTCTGAGCACAGAGAAAGGAGTAAGTCCTGAGCACTGCTCCGTATAGCTCCCAAACAAAATTAAAAACAAAAGGAAATAAAGTGAGAACGAAAGAAAGAGAAAAAAGAGAGGAAGGAAGGGAGGAGGGAGGAAGGAAGGAAGGAAGGAAGGAAGGAAGGAAGGAAGGAAGGGAGGGAGGGAGGGAGGGAGGGAGGGAGGGAGGGAGGAGGAAGGGAGCGGCGGGCTCCCTCCTAGACACAGGTTGTAGAATTCATATTCTATGGGACCTGCACAAAAAGTCACCTCCTCTGGAAAGCCTTCCTGGAGCTCCATCCAGCCTTGATCACAGAAGGGTTTGCTGACAGCTCTGTGTCCCCAGGGGAGTGCCTCATTCAACAATCACTATTCAACGCCCCTGACTGCCAGGTGCAGGCCCAGGTGCGGCCCAGGTGCTGGGGACAATGGTGAAGAAAATCGACTTTCTGCCTCCCAAGCCTGCTGAACAGAGAAGGGGCGGTGGGGCTGGGCCCTAAGCAGAGGCAGGGGTGGGCACGGAGGCTTCCCGGCGCTGGTGGGGGAGGCTGCTGGGAGGGGGGAGAGACGGGGGAGGGAGGCCTCTGAAGCTCCCCATTCGCCCCAGCTCCCAGACACCTCCCCCAGGCTCGGAAGGACAGGGGGTAGGCTCAGGGCGCAGCAAGGGTCGCCACCAGGAGACGAAGCCCAGAGCCCCCCAGGGCAGCCTGGACTAGCCGGGGCAAAGAGCCGGGGCGCCCGGTGGGGTAGGGGGTCGCGGGGCGAGCGCGGGGCGGCCCCGGGGGCGGCGGGGTGGAGTGACAGTGACGCAGCCCGGTGCCCGCAGGTGCCCGTCTGCCGTTATGCTGGCGCTGCTGTGTGCCTGCCTGCTGGCGCGCGCCGGGCTCGGGGCGTCCGCGGAGCCCGCGGGGCTGGGCGCCGACCGCACGGCCGAGCTCATCCGCGACCTGCACGCCAAGGTGACGGAGCTGTGGCGGGCGCTGCGGCCGCGCTGCGCCTGCGGCCCCGACGCCAACCCGGCGCCGCTGTTCGCCTGCTGCGCGGTGCAGCCGTCGGCCGCGCTGGGCGCGTCGGAGCAGCCGCGCGTGGCGGGGCTCGTGCTGTTCCGGCAGGGCGCGCCCGGGCCCGGTGGCTCCCTAGAGGCCTTCTTCGACCTGCACGGCTTCCCGGCGCAGCCCAACACCTCCCAGCGCGCCATCCACGTGCACCAGCTCGGGGACGTGAGCCGGGGCTGCGACGCCGCCCAGGGCCACTACAACCCGCTGAAAGTGCCGCACCCGCGACACCCTGGCGACTTCGGCAACTTCGTGGTGCGCCGCGGCCGCCTCTCGGTGTACCGCGCGCGGCTCTCGGCGCAACTCGACGGCCCGCACTCCATCCTCGGCCGCTCCCTGGTGGTCCACGAGGGCGAGGACGACCTGGGCTGCGGCGGCAACGAGGCCAGCCTGATGCACGGCAACGCTGGCCGACGCCTCGCCTGCTGTACCATCAGCCTGTGCGACAGCGAGCTCTGGGAGCGCCGGGCCCAGGAGCACGGTCAGCGCCTGCGGCCCAAGAAAGAGAAGAGCGAGTGCAAGAGCCCCTGAGCGTGCCCAGGAGCGGGGCGTCCCCCGTTCCTGGCCCAGACCCTCCTCCCGCCTCCCTGCGCTCGGAGACCCCTCTCCCGGGCTCCTTTCTCTACACCCTCCGTGCCCCAACGCCCCTCCCTGATCCCTAGAACCAACCCTTGGCACGTCGTGTCCCAGGACCCGCTCCACACCTTGACACCAGCCTGACCCACCGCGCAGACCTACTCCCAATGCCCTAGAAATTAGAAATTTCTGCCCCCAGCACCTGCACGGGTTTCAGTTCTTCCTTCCAGCTGCGCCTTGAAGTGGGGTACAGGATGGTTTGGCACATTAAAATTCCCGTGATTCAGTACCGCACTCGGCTTTTGGTGACCTTTTTTTGTTTGCTTGTTGGAAAGTGTGCCTCCCGGGCTCATTATTTTGGAAATGGGAAAGTCCCCCCAAATCCAGGCCCGAAGGACTTCTCCACGCCCCAACTCTGCTGGCCACTGAGCCCCATCGCGGATTATCCAGCTGTTCTATGGTTCTCCGATCAGGCGGCATCAGATCACTCAGGGAATGAAGAAAAGAAGGTGATAGTGGGGCCAGAGAGATTAAACAGCAGGTAGGGCCTCTCCTGGCACGCAGCTGACCTGGGTTGGAACCCCGGCACTACCTATGGTCCCCTGAGCCTTACCAAGAGCCAGGAGCAAGCTTGGGCGTGGCCCAAAAGCAAGGGGAAATAAGGCAATGCACTTCTGGGGTACATGGCAAAGCTGTGCAAACCCAAAGAGGGAGGAGTGGAGGGAATTGGCGGAAGCTGCCCAGTAGTACAGATGCATGGGCCACTGGCTGATAGGTGGGCCAACACCAAGAGCCTCTGGACCGCCAGGGGGCTGTGAGACAAGGGCTGTGAGGCTGGCGTTGGTCTATTTCCGGCTCTCCCCAACTCAGACCAGATTCTTCATCCTGGTTTCACAACACAGCAGAATTCGGAGGCAGCAGGCTCCAAAGGCAGGCTGATTCAATCAGAACTTGGGAGTGTTTGGGATGTGACTCTGCTGATAGATCTCTAGCTTCGTCCCTGGGTTCGATTCCCAGCACCAACCAAAATGGAAAATTGCTGGAAGTTGGGTGGGGGGAGGTGGTGTTCAGTGTCCTTTGGAAAATTATAACCTACACTGAGACTTGAATCTATCCCATCATTAGTGAACCAAAGCAACTCCTAATGTCCTTGATATCCCAGAGGAGAGGGAAAGTCACCTCCTAGCAGTGACTTAACACGCCGATGTCTCAGGATCCAGCTTCCATTCCACCCCGACTCTGAGGTGGTGAGTCAGCCTGCACCTCAGCCAGAAACCCATCCCCGGTGGTTATTTTTGCCACTTGCAGGGACTAACTTCTTATTTTAAAATCCTTCCCTGAACCCAAGTGACAACTGGGAAGAAAGGCAAGCGCCTGGTGACTTTGCTCCACCAACTGGTTCCGCTGGTTTGAAATATTAGCTTGAACTTGAGCTCTGCAGGTCAGTGCTGAGTGAATGAGCAAACAGAGTCCTTAAATATCCCACTCTCAACCGTGTTTGCCTCTCCCCGCAATTAAAGGCAGTGCAAGCCAGGCTCTGGCGGCAGGAACACAGGATGGGAAGGAATGAAATGCCAGATGCCCAGTCTTGGCTTGTGCTGCCTGGATTAGAGGTTCACCCAGGGCCATGCAGGAAGCAGAGGCTTATTTATGTCTTTATTTGGAGAATTTTTTTTAACCACATCCAGCTGTGCTCAGAGATTACTCTGAGCTCCATGATCAGGAATCACTCCTGGCGGAACTCAGGGAACAATACATGATGCTGTCAGATTCTGGTCAACTGCATGCAAGGCAAGTGCCCTACACATTAGACTATCTTCCAGAAGTGGTAGAGGATTATTTTATTTTATTTTTTTTATTAGTGAGACACCACGAGGTACAGTTGTAGACTTACAAATTTTTGTGCTTGGGTTTTAATTATACAATGATCAAATACCCATCCCTCCACCAGTGCCCATTTCCCACCATCACTGATCCCAGTATCCCTCCCACCCCCCATCCCTCCCATTCCACTCTGCCTCTGTGGCAGGGCATTCCCTTTTGTTCTCTCTCTCTCTCCTTTCGGGTGTTGTGGTTTGCAAAAGAGACAATGAGTGGCAATCATGTTTGGTCTATAGTCTACTTTCAGTATGCTTCTCCCATCCTGGGAGGATCCTCCTAACACCCTTTATTTGATGCTCCCTTCTCTATCTGAGCTCCCTTTTCCCCTAGCATGTGTTTTTTAATGAAACTAATTAAGTTATTTTTGGTTTGGGGGACACACCCAGCGATGCTTAAATGTTACTCCTGCTCTGCCTTCAGGGATCACTCCTGGTAGTGCTTGGTGGACCATATGAAATGCCAGGTAACAGACTTGGATTGGCCATGCATAAGCCAAGTGCTCTACCCATGGTACTCTCTCTCCAACCCCTCAAGGCTTTTTTTAGGAGCTTAATTCTTCTCTCTCTCATATTTTTCCCCAGGAGTCCTGGGGATAGAGAAAGGGAGAGTCCTCCCAAGTGGTATTCTGGGGACTCGACCATGACTCCCAGAAATTCACAGCCAGTCTGGCCCTGTAGTTGATTGTAAGGACATGAGGATGTAATGCTGTGGTGCAAGGGGACCACCAGGGACACCCCTGCAGTGATGAGGGGGGAGCCCCAAGACTGCATCCAGTGGTACTGGGAGTGGGGGAGTCATGGGGGTGCCACTAATAGAACTGCCCGGGGACCCTAAGCCCTGTCCTACCCCTGAACACGCTGCTATCACAACATATCACAGAATGGGTGCCTTATTAGTGACACCCACCACCTGGCCCCCTGGCGCCGTGTAATCCCATCAACGGCCAAGACTCAGAGACTATAAAATCCAGCTCCCGGACGAGACCAGTGCAGTCAGTCTCCTGCCCCTGCGCCTGGCTGTTCCTCGCTGGGGTCCCTTGGAGGGGAGCAGGTTGAGCTTTCCTCCCCGCCCCGACCAGGGCTCCAGCAGCCGAAGACCTCCAGGACCAGCCACCACCATGCTGAGACCACTCTCCGCACACATGAAGGTACTGGCAGAGGGACAAAGCCACGCGGGTTCCGGGGCCGAGATCTCCAAGCCTACTCGAATTGGAGTCAAGCATCCTCCACCCAGATCCTCCAAATTCCAGTAGGCGGGGGTCACACCCACCACCTGGCCCCCTGGCGCCGTGTAATCCCATCAACGGCCAAGACTCAGAGACTATAAAATCCAGCTCCCGGAACCGCGCGGCCGCGACATCTTATCAGGACATCTTTTTATGATATCTTATTATCTCATTCCTACTCTGGACAAACTTGCAGGCTATCGCATATAGCCTGCCCACAGGGCAGAGTCTGGCAAACTCCCCGTGGCGCACCAAATATGCCAAATACCAGTAACAATGATGGGTCTCATTCTCCTAAAGAGCCTTGAATATAATCTCAGGGCTAGGATGAAAGAGACGTTACTGGGGGCCTGCTCGAGGCAATCGACAAATAACAGGATGATGAATGAATGAATGAAATTAGTGACACATTTCTCACCGTTCTTGACGCTGAATTTGGGCGTTCCTCACCCTGCCTGTTTGCCCTGACCTCACATGGTAGAAAGCTCCATCTCATTCCTGAAGGCTCTCCTGCATACATGAGGCACCTCCCCAAGCCTCACCTCCTCAGGTCACTTTTGGCGGTTAGGATTTCAATATATAGATTGGGTGGGAGTAGACAGAGACCATAACACCTTCTGTCCTTAGCATTTCTCTACTTTTCTTCACCCCTAAATTAAAGGGAAGCTTCCAGAAACTATGTTCTATTTCTTCTCCATCCATGTATCAGAATGGAATCAATGAATTCTTATTCTGTAGCATCCCAGACCAGAAACCTAGAGAGGAAACTCCAGAGCAGTGTTTTTCAACCCTCTTCCACCTGCCAACTGTCCCCTGTCCTGCACACAGGTCCACAGACCGGCAGCTCTAAGTAGGGTTTTCCATCTTTCTTCACTTGTGGTCTATGGAGGCTTGCAGTCTGTGTGTCTGGAAGACTGAATAAATTGCTCTAAAGAGGGTCCTGGCCCTTCTGGTTACTGGAAGGGCCAGAACTGCCCCAGCTCCTTGGGAAAGGCAGGAACTCTGACTCTACCGCATCTGGAAGCTATGTGATCTGAGCGAGTCACTTCCTTCCCCTGCCTGGGTTCAACTCATTTCACCTGTCAAATAAGATGCTCACTTTGGATGGTTAGAACACCGCATCATGTTCATCGTGAGCACTGTTATCACAGAGCCTCCGAACTCTTGTGTCAACTCAATGACCAGGGCCAAAGCTGGGAAAATAGTGATGGGTTGCTTTGGCCTCCTCTGTCAGGGAGTGAGTGTGACACCCTGAGAAGGCTTCAGTTCAGGAAGGGGTGCTGCCTCGAGTTTGTTCCTGCTTCTGCATCCACTGAGACTGGATGAGATGTTGGCAGAGAAGCCAGTGCTTGGAGCTTGGGGGAAGGTCTCTAAAGTGAGGGATTATGGGTAGACAGACATCTGGCTCTTGGCACACAACCTCCCATGCGCTACCAAGTCCGCCCATAAGACCCCACTTGGCCCCGGAGTCTATTTTTACGCCCCTCATCTTATAGATCTATTTTGTTACTCTCCTTATATTTGCTGTTTTGACTCCCCAGCCAGCTTGCTAATCAGTTTGCCTATTTGACTCACAGGGTTTGCATTTGTCACTGAGACTTAAACACACACTTGTTTTGATTTCTTTTTGTAAAATTAGAAGTGTTTGATATAATGACTCTACCTAGACACAGCTGGTAAAGTGAGAATAATGCTCAATTTTGCACAGTTTAAACACAATGTAGACAATAATTAGAAATGCTATCTTTAGATATTTAGGATAAGCTTTTTCTCAGAATTGCAGTGAATTTTTTCCAAGTGAAGCTGAAGCTTTTCAGTGTGTGTGTGTGTGTGTGTGTGTGTGTGTGTGTGTGCACACATGCGCGTGTGCGTGGACACACACACACTAAAAATGTAAGAAAATAGAGCAAATCAATGAAGGTTTGGGTTAACTTGAAAGGCTTCAGGAAATAAACCAACTGATTTTGGATCTGGCTTTTTTGGGGATGGAATATATAAAATCTTTACATACTTCATATTTTTCATGACTACTGTATGATCTAATACTTGGAGCTGACAGATTGCACTGATAAGTTGCTACAATATTCTAGAAGCAACGCTCAGACTATGCTTGGCCTGCAGTGAGGGTGGAGAAGAGGGAGGGAGAATGACGCAAGTAATAAAGATAATTAATCATCCCTATCAGGAAAATTACCACATTTTTATTTCAGGTAACAAAAAAGATATAGTTACAGGATGACTATAGATTGCAATAAAGCGAGTTCTGCGAATGAATACAAGTCACTTTCCCCCCTTTCTATTAACTACAAAATAGCAGCTGATGTACTTTTTATTTTTAAAGACAATTGTTTCCATTTATGAGGCTATCATCATTGACCTCAGGTAAGCTCCCCAAAATATATTCCTGGGCTTACATAGATTCCAGAAACTCATACTTGCCAGGATTATGCCGATTTCCCTAAGAAGTCTGCACACCTCTAGTTCTGCTTTTATTCTGATGTTTTTGTGTATGTGCAGTGCCAGGTAAGGAACCCAGGATCTCACAAATGCAAGATAGCTGCTCTACTAATAAGTCCCACCCCTTTTCACTAGAGCCTGCATTTGAATACATTGAAGCTGGCATGGACCACTGGTGGCTCACACTTGAATGTGGTTTAAGAAGCACAAGAGGCAGCATTGGCATCAATGGTTCAGTTTCATTACTCAGGCTTTGGGGCTATTCCCAGTGGTGCTCAGGGCTTACTCTTGGCAAGATTCAGCAGGTTTTATGGGGTGCCATGATTGAACCTGGGTTGGCTATGTGCAAGGCAGGCATTCTACCTGCTGTACTGTTGCTCTGATCCCTGGCATCATTTTTAATGACTTTCATGCCATAGAGCATGTTTGGCCTAGCTTTCATGAGCACTCATTGAAAGAAGGGTCCTTATTTTATTTATTTCTCATTTCTAATTTGGTGGACTCCATTGCATTTCTGATGTTCAAATTTGTCTCTTTTCAGAAACATAGTTGGGGGAAAAAAGAGAATATATTAAAATAGAGAACTGAGGGGAATCCTTTGTCTTTTTGACATCTCAGAGCAGTGTTTAGGAATCTTCAATATTATTGAGGAGGAATATTGTTCCAAAGGGAAGCTTCCAGAATGAAGGAAGAGTGCAGGAGAAGGTGCTCAAGTAGAAGCCCTTTTCTTTCTTTCTTTCTTTTTTTTTTTAGCTTTTTGGGTCACACCTGGTGATGCACAGGGGTTACTCCTGGCTCCGCACTCAGGAAATACTCCTGGTGGTAGCTCAGGGGACCATATGGGATGCTGGGAATCAAACCCAGGTCGGTCGTGTGCAAGGCAAACACCCTACCCGCTGTGCTATCGCTCCAGCACCTAGAAGCCCTTTTCAAAGACAAGTAGAGCACCAAGTCACCCATAGGCCTGCAGGGAAGGATAGGGCCAGGAAAGAACCCCAGGATTTTTGGGGGGTGGGGTGGGGAGTTGGGGCAGCAGACAGAAACAAGAGGGTCAGAAGCATACAGTCTTTTTAAAGAGACGGTGGAAAGAACTACAGGTGAGTAGTTCACTGGCCTGAAAATCGTTAAGGACGTGATGTTACATGGGCTCAACTGCTCCAGTCCGATCCCAGGTCAAGATCTGTCTGGCGGCTGGAGAGAGTATAGTAGGTAAGGTGCTTTCTTTACACGCGGTTGGGCCGGGGCTCAATCCTCGGCATCCCATATGGTCCTTGAGCATGGCCAAAAGTGATTCCCGAATGCAGAGCCAGGAATAACTGCTGAGTTTGGACTCGACCCCCGCTACCCCGCCTCTGCCAAATTCTTTCCAACAGGTAAGTCACTGATAGCAGAGCACTTTCCTTAGATTATCCCCTCATGGAGGTGCGGTGGTGGTATGCTGATGAGGGAGTCACAGGAGAGGGACAAGGAGAGGGACACTCATTTAGCTTGCTGAGTTTGCCAGTGGGGAAGAGGAGCCTGCAGGGATTGAGCTGAATGCCATCAGGAGCCTCCGAGCTCCAGAAGCTTCCTGGGCGTCTGTGCCAGGGGCTGCTGAGAGGGTGGGGGAAGGCAGAGAAGACAAGGTGAGAGAAGGAGTTAGGGATGAGAAATGCCTGGTTGACAAAAACCAATCTATTTCCCCAGGCCTTAATTAAAAGAAAGACAAACACTCATATGTAAAAGCGCACACCTAAAGGCTTCAGGTACCGTGCACTCACCAGAAATGCAGTGTGTGCAAACAAGCTTTCATTAAGAGACCTGTCAGCTCGGTTTCAATTATCCAGACTCCTCTGCATTCTGCCCGCAACGGAGCTGGAGAAATAATGGCAGGATGGCCACACTTGAGGAGGGAAACAAAGGTGAGAAGTTTCCAGCTGCAAAACAGGACTGACTGAGACAGGATCCAGGGAGAAGAGATGAGATAGCATTTTTCTTTTCTTTTTGTTTTGATTTTTGGAGGCTCGAGGTTTACTCTTAGCCCTGCACTCAGGAATTACTACTGGCGGTATTCAGGGAACTACAGGGGACGCTGGGGATCAAACCCAGGTGAACCATATGCAAGGCAAACACCCTACCTGCTGAACTCTGTCCCCAGCCCCAAGACAGCGTTGCTCTTAACAAAGATCACCACCACCCCTTGCCCCAATTCAAATCTCTGCAGTGACATAACATTTTGAGGCTGGAGCGATAACATAGTGGGTAGGGCGTTTGCCTTACACGCAGCCAACGTGGCTGACCGGAGTTCGATTCCTCCGCCCCTCTCAGAGAGCCCGGCAAGCTTCTGAGAGTATCTCGCCCGCATGGCAAAGCCTGGCAAGCTCCCCGTGACGTATCCAATATGCCAAGCACAGTAACAAGTCTCACAATGTTACTGGGTCCGCTCAAGCAAATTGATGAACAACGGGAGGACCGTGACCGTGACATAACATTTTAGAGCTTTAAAGGAAAGAAAGAAAACTTTAACAGATGAGTGGGGTTTAGAGCCTCTGTCCACCCACAGTCTCCAGCCCTCCTCAGACATAGCTTAGTCTAGGAGTCTATCCAAGATCCCTGTCCGTCAGCCTATGTGCTGTGAACTGGGGCTGGTTGGCAGAAGTTTCCTGGTGATCCACCAAGAATATGTCCCCAGTCACATAGCAGCTACCTTGGTGATTTGAAAGCGCTAAGCTGTGGCCCACTGCTGGTCCTTGGCTATGGCAGGGCTGAAAACCACAGGTCTAGCATTGTGGCTATTAACTCCCAGTCCCTCATGGTGGCCTGTGAGTGGGTGCAAAACAGTTGAAAATTATTATTGTAGAAGGTCTGCGGCCATCATCAGAGGGTGACTGTGATGAACCTAAACCCATTTGCCAAGCGAGGGATAGGTTGGACATAGGCATGTGACATGTGACGTGATCACACAGACACAGGAAATAGACAAGAACTGTGTCCTGCTCTTGAAACACACACACACACACAGACACAGACACACACACATCCGACAGTGAGAGAAACTTCTTTCTGCCTTTGAATACAATGTGAGGATAGGTGATGCCTGGAGCTGCTGCAGCCATCTTTTCAGCATGAGTGAAGAGCTGCCTCTGGAGTAGGTAAAACCAGCCAAAAGAAGCCCAGAAACACAGTCCATCCCTGCTAACTTTCTTGAATGAACCAGTCCTGGAATTGTCAAATTTCTGAAGTTCTTTTGATGCGGCACCATTGTTTTTCCCATGTTTAAGTATCTGGAAGTCTGAATGGGAGCAGAGAGAAGAGTTACTGGCGCAGGGCTACCTGGTGGAGGAAGGTCGAGGATGCTGCATGAGTTCGCAGTGACGCTGAAAGTGACAAAAGACAACCACAAGTCATTGACCAAATTTTCTTTAATGTCTACGGGACAGTACCAGGCTGGGTCATTGGACTGGGTCAGTATCCCACCCAGGCTGGGGGCCAGTGTCGAGTAAACAGTTCATTGTACTGATTCCGTCTAATACCACAAGCCCCCTAGCACCTTCTGCTTTAGCTGACTGCAGGCAGAGTTTGGGTGACAGCTCCCTAGGACCCCCACCCCCCACCCATGAGCCCTGGGCTACACTCCCTGGGGCTCTCAGGAGCTTCCCTGCTCGCGATGCTGCAGTTTAGTAGAAGCCCAAAGTGATGAATGGGCCCTAAAGATGTGCACCTGGTCGACTGTGTGTCAAACCCAGAGCTTCTGCAGGGAGAGATTTTTCTTTTTATTATGATTGTATTAAATCTGGCTGTGTTTTCCTGTGGTGGCGGCCTATGCAATGGGGCTGAACATTTGCAGACAGTTAAGTTCTCACGTGCAGCAGGAAATTTATTTCTGGGGCTGGTGGCCAGCGAAGGCCTGCAGCTGTGGAAGTGGGGGTGGGTGGGAGGGGAAGGGGGTGCTGGGGAAGGGAGAGGCTGGAATGAGTGAGAGCTGGGCAGGGTACTGAGTCTGGTGGGCAGGGATGGAGGAGATGCGTGAGCATCTCACAGCCGCAGTGTGTTTTGACCTGGTGGGGACCCCCATTCATAACTGGGGGGTGGCCTCTGGCGAGGGAGAGGAAGCAGCTGGGGGTGCACAAGGGTATGTATCCGGCAAAGGACTTCATGGGGCGCAGGTGGCCTTCCTTTAAAGCGAGACAGCAGGAGGCCCAGTTCTACCGGGCTGGGCCCGGTGGCTGGGGTTTGAGGGGACCCGGCAGAGGTGTCGGGTTGGCCACACAGCTGTGCAGGGCACCTGGGACTGGGGGAAATGCCTGCTGGCAGGACAGTGTTTCTGCTCCTTCCGTCTCCAACACGGCTCTTTATTTCCTGTGGGAACAACTCCAGATGTCCAGAGCAGTGGCCTGAGAATCTGGGGGGCTGGTGCTTTCGGGGTACAGCTCAAAGACAGCTCTATTGCTGGATGGCCACCAGATGCCACTAAGAAAAAGCTCCTATCACCCCAAGGCCAGGCTGATGTCCTCCTTCTGCGGACACATATGTGCTGCCCCGCTGGCTCTTATCACTCTCTACCCCAGGCCGCCAAGCTCTGAGTCAGGATTCTGCAATCCCATGAGTCGGCAGGGTTTGGGAGTGAAGGTTGAGTTGGAGTTCAGAACTGAGAACTGAAACTCAGTTTCATGTGGGAAACTGAGTCAGCCACAGGCAACACCAAGGCATCACCTTGCAATGCTCTGGGCAGCTCGGGTGGAAACCAACGGGTGCCCCCAACACCAAACTCTCATCTCAGAAACAAAAAAATCGGACACCACTGCCCTCCACCCGCGTCTGAGATCATGAGATCCGTTCATCCTCCAGAAGGACGGGCTGCAAGACTCTTGTAGTCCTGGCTCTATGGGGGGCTGTGGAGGTTGGGTCTGAAACCCCACGTGAGAAGCTGGCCCCGGCCCCTCTCTGCCTGCCAGCCGGTGGGTGCTGTGGCTGGCAGCGAGCAGGGCAGCAGGATGGGATGCCGCCCACGGGCAATCTTGGGAGCGCTGACATAAAGAAGGGGTGCAGTGGGCAGAGGCCAATAAAGCATGACAAAGCCGGGACCCCAGACTGAAAACCCCATCCAATTCAAGCTCGGCCTGTAATTTCCCTCCACAAACATTCAATGCCCATAGGAAAACATCTGATTGAGAATAAAACAAATGCTGACTGGGTTAGAGGGCGGAGGCTGAAACTTGGCCATCTGGCGCCAGATTCCACATGGGTCCCGTTCACAGCCGTGTCTTAGGCAGGGAGAGATGGCCCGGAGAAGCACGGGGACCTGTGTCTCCTCACCCCAACGCTGCTGTCTTCATCACGACAGTCACAGTTGGCAACGGTGGCGGTGTGGGAGCAGAAGGCGACGTTGGTGAGCTGTTCTGAGCTAGCCTCTCCAGTTTCAGGAGCCTCTGGTCACACCATCGGGTCTGATCTTGCTTCTCCCGTCCCAACCCCTCCATCCTCCAGGGTCTCCTTGCCGTCTTCCCATGGGTCAGGGGTACAGCAGCTTTCCCTTTGATTGAACTCCAAGGGGTCTTACCCAGATTCAGGAAGCTCCCCCTTGGATGCCAGGCCCTGGGCTTGCAACCCCACCGCCTTCCCCGCAATTTCCAGGAGACTTTCACTCCTGACATCTTCCGGGTCTGCCTCTGTCTGGTCCTCAGCCAATTGCACGACCTCCCCTGCCAACCTGTTGGCTGCTTCGGTCTTGGAAGGCAGCGGGGGCAAGGGTGGGTGAACTGGCTGACCTGGGGTCCCCTGGTTCTGGTTTCCTGGGGAGAGGCCAGCGGCCCTCCCAGAGTCCTCCAACACCGCCAATGCTTCCGAGTCAGGTCGGCTGTCATCTCCTTCTTGGCTCAGAAGCTCTCCTAAAAATGAGACGAAGATAGCATCACAGCTGTAGGAAATCTCCCAAAGACAAAGCGAATGTCCATATCTTAAGGGCAGGTGGCTACTCAGGGCCTGCGTCCTTTCCCTTCCCGGGACATCTCTTCCCAGGACTGGAAGGGATGTATCCAGCCTCTGTAAAGCACCAGACAGCATTCATATTCTTTCTTTCTGGACACCAGCTGATCGCCCATTTCCGTCTCTAGCGGGGGTGCTGTGAACCCACAAAATAATCATTGACTCACCTACTTGGAGGATGTGGGGTCATGCCCCTTGGTGCTCAGGAGCTACTCTTGCTTTTGTGCTCAGGAGTAACCTTTGGTGGTGCCATGGCTTCAAGTTGGGCTTAGTGGGATACAAGACAAGAGGTATATGCCCTGTAACAACTCTCCAGCCCTCTGACATAGTGAAACGGAGGACAAAGTCTTCGTGGGTTCTGTGACTCAGACAAGACCTGGGACTCTCCAGGACTGAAAAGAGACCATGTCTGTCCTCTTAGTGGAAAATGGGGTGGGGGGAGCTGTTTGGGGAGTTGCTTCATGTTCCCCGTAACCTGTTCATTTGAAGCCTCATTTGTGGCTTCCTCAATTTCCAACTTAGGCAGAATCTGCAAAGGTAGCGCCAAAGTCTCCACCTTTTAAACTCAATGGTGGTTCTTAAGCCCCTTCTCTCCATAGTAAAAATTCAACATTTTCAACTGGAGGGGGCTGGGGTAAAGGAAAAAGGGGGGGGGTGCTTGGGGGAAGGGGTTAGGCTCCCTTTCCTATTGCATTGTTTTGTGAGCAGAAGGACCCGTGAGGCTTATTTCCCAGACACAGTCCTGAGTGCCCAAATTCTCTGATGTCCCTTCCAGGATGGACGATCTGCATGACCCAGAAGGGCTTTCCTGGGGAGTGAGATCCCAGCACCCAGAGTGGCAACTTCAGCACCAGAAGTTAAGACCTTCTTAGCACTCAGGACAAAGAGGTGAAATGTATAATGAGCTTCACCGGGCTAACTTTAGCCCAAGCTGAGGTGTCCAGGGCTGAGGGCCCAGCAAGGACACTCCCTGGCACCCCTGGATCAGCCGCAGTGGAGCCCCACACCAATTAGCCTTACTCAGCTGCATGTACTCAGCACGGCGCTCAGGTCAGGGACGGAAGGAAACCTAGAAGGGAAGCCGGCCTGACAGTTGGGATAGAGAAGGGACCACCATCAGTTGGGACAGAGAAGAGACAAAGATAGTTGGAGATGATCAGTCTGGATAAGAACTGTGTGCTGAAAAGAGGTAAAGGAACACATATGATAACCTCTCAGTACCTGTACTGCAACCCATAATGCCCCAAAGGGGAGAGAATGAGAGAGACAGAGAGACAGAGACAGAGACAGAGAAAGAAGGAAAGTACCTGCCATAGAGACAGGCGGAGAAAAGGGTGGCAGGAGGGAAACTGGGGACATAGGTAGTGGGAAATGGACACTGGTGGAGGGATGGGTGTTGGAACACTGTGTGACTGAAACCTGAGCATGATCAGCTTTGTAGCTGTGCACCTCACAGTGACTCAGTCTAAAAAAAAAAGAAAAAAGAAAAAGAAAGCAGCCTGTTTCATCCACGTCATTTGTTCTCCTATGCAAAGCCCGTCCTAGGGCCTGTCCCCTCAGGGATAAGTTTAAGTTCCTCTGACAAGCTTCCTTCTGAGATGCTTCTGTGTCACCCTGCAGCCTCCCTCTCCACAGCTCACACACATTCATCTGTCCTCTGTCTTTCAGTGCTCCCCTAGGTCTCTACACATACCACTGCTTCTCCCCTTCAAAAGCGAATGCAGCTTCCCTCCCTGCCGAGACCAAGAGTTGTGCCCCCCCCCCCGCCCCAAAAGTGGCTCTCCGGCACAGCCATGGCCCCAGAGGCACATGGACCTAATTCAGAACCCAAAAGCTTTTGGCAGAAATGTGAATGGACTATGCATTAAGCTACGATCCCTGCCCCCCAGGGAGGGAAAGGGTGTCTGTCTTTTCCGCCTTTCCACCCCTCCCCACCCCGTGGCACAGCGGCCACCACCTCAGAGCTTATTGGACAGCCAGGTATGAGCCGGAGGTGATGGGGCAACTGTGGCCTCATGGGAGGCGGAACCGGCACATCCTTCCCACTCCGCCGAGACCACCAGTTGCCCCCCACGAGCGGCTCTCCGGCATGGCCATGGACCCAGAGGCACACAAGCCAATCTCAGAACTATGCGGCTTTTGGCAGAAATCCCTCCAGATTAATTAGTAAAATATCATAATTCCAAAATTGTGATTGCGGCCGTGCAACATCATATGGTCTTCATAACCAGCAATAGAAGACATTATTTCACAATGCCTTTTCAGCAGGTCTGATTGTTGGGGTAAAATTTCAAATAATAACGGTGCATCTTTTGTTGAAATAATGAATGTAATCAAAGTAGAGAGAGAGAGTTAAGTGGAAAATCATCTGCTTCACAGGAATGGGGAGGGGTGGGATAGGGGCGTATATTGGGATTCTTGGTGGTGGAAAATATGCACTGGTGAAGGGATGGGTGTTTGATCATTGTATGACTGAGACTTAAATCTAAAGCTTTGTAACTGCTCTCACAGTGTTCAATAAGTAATTTTTTTTTACAAGAAAGTGAATGCAGTGAACACTTAAAGCAACAACTGCTCCTCTAAGTTTGGTGCTAGGTTTTCTTGTTCAAGAACTGCATCTCTCAACCCGGGGCACATGGCCCCCAGTGGATCCCCAGGATATTCTAAGGAGGCCACACCACAGATAAAAAATTGTGTCAACTGGTGTCCAAAGAACAAGACTAAGTGGACAGGAGGCAGAATGGGGGTCAGGAGGAGCACTAGAGGAAACCAAGGTCAGAAGGGGAACCATGGCTGGAAAAAAGTTTGGAAACATTAACTAGAACATAACAAAAAGGTCTCACCTGATCTGTTCAACTTTCTTGGCACATTCTAAGCATCCTAGACAGACGCTGAGAAACAGCAGCTCCAGGCCCGGAGGCCGGCTCAGGGCGCAGCATGTCCCTGCATGCTTAAGGCTGGCAGCTCAGCTCTGGGTGCTGCTGTGTTCACCAAGTGAGATCCTGGCTCGTGGGTGCTACACGCCACCTCAGCAGAGTGTGTGTGAGCACCAAGAGGAAAGAAGCTGCGACCCAGCGACCTCGAGTGTGACTACAATGACCGCCCCCACCCCCATGAGCACGCCAACTAGAATGTGCGTGAGTGACCACGCCCCCTCCTCCATGAAGCTCCCACCCCCACCCTGCCAAAGGGAAGCCTCCACGATGGAAGGAGGGCAGCTGGGTGTGTGAGCACCCCAACGTGCACCACAGCCAGGGTGGTGTGGCCCTTGCAACCACAACGAGAAAGGGCAACGGGGGGACTGGAGTTCCTTGCTTTCCTTTTCTTGATAGAAAAAACATAGAAGTATTCTAATTTAAAGTTGACATCTCACCAATTTCCACAAAGTGAACAGGGCCCTGTAACCAGCAACTAGGACCAGAAACAAGGGTCTTACAAACAGCCTAATCCTGCCACTCCCCCATGTCTTCTGCCCAGGGTGACTGATCTCCTAATCCAGACTTTGAGGATATATTCTGCCTGGTCCTTGGCCTTCAGCCATACAGAGAGAAAGAGTTCAGCTGTGTAAACAGTTGACCCCAATTCAATCTCCAGAATCCCATACGATTTAAGAGCATCACAAGGCATTCTCCTCACTCTGACTTACTACTCTTAATATGATACCTTCCTGATCCATCCACATTGCAATGAGCAGCAGGATTTCATCTTTCCATATAGCTGCATAGTATTCTACTACATGTATATGCACACCACAACTTTTTTATCCAATCATCTGTCATTGGAGGATATTTGGGTTGTTTCTATACCCTATTATTCATAAGAGTGCAATGAACACAGGTGCACATATATCTTTTTGAGTTAATATTTTTTTGGTTATTTGAGTAGATACTAAGGTGTGGAATTTATGGGTCATATGAAAGCTCTATTCTTAGACTTTTTTCTAGAAGTCTCCTTACTGTTTTCCATAGAGGTTGAACAAGACAATAATCTCACCAACAGTGACTGAAGGTCTCTAGTAAAAATTTGTATAGGATTCTTGGGAAATAGTTATCCCAATTCTCAATCCTAACCCTTTGGCCCTGTAATTCCACTACTAGGAATTCAAACATGGGTGAGAGTACAAAGGTTTGCAAACACATAGACTTGGATGCTCACTTTTGTGTTTTCTGATTCAGTTGGTGTGATTTCTTTCCTTTGGGGGTTGGGGACTTCCTACACAGTGCTCAGGACACAGTGGGTCCCTCCCAGAGATTCTTAATTGTCCGGGACAGCAGTTCAGTGCAAAGGCCTACGTGCCCTTGCTATCCGGGCCCTGCTATGCCAGGGATGACCTGGGCCACTTGGCAGTGCTGGGGCGTCTGCTGTACTCAGTGCTGGGTGGTCTCCAAGGCTACGCCTGGCAATGCACAGGATTGTTTTTAATGGAAGAAGCCTGAAAAGAGACTGTCCATCAATGAGGGAGGGGTTTGTAGATGCTTGCTAAGCCTTGAGATGTATGCTGTGCTGTATCTAGTAGGTTGCCTCTGGGAACCAAGACTGAGTGTCAGAGCAGGAAGGCTTTACATTTAATAGTAAACCTTTCTGTGTTATTACATTTTTAAAACATGTGCTAACTATTGCTGTTTGACAAAGATATGCAAATCCCAATAGGTTTTTGTACCACTTTAATATGCACCACTTCCATTTCTCAGTATGGAGTCACACCTACACCCTTCAGTGGGCCTCGATGCCTTCACTTCCGTGCGCTCTGTGCCCCCAGATCCAGCATACTTTACTCAGGAACTTCCGAGAAAAGTCCTATTTTTTTATTTATGTTTTGCCTTTTGGGTCTCACCTGGTGATGCACAGGGTGCATCCTGGCTCTGCACTCAGGAATTACTCCTGGTGGTGCTTGGGGGACCAT